TTAGTGACCAGACTTATGAATAGAATAGAGTATTGCTCCAACACAGGGGTAGACAATTTTCCCAAGGGCCCATATGAGAAACTGGGATAATTGAGGACTGCTGGCCCACCCCACTACCACCATCCCCCCACAGCGGACCAGACAGGGATGGAAGCGGTCCAGTTCTCTGACGTCTAGTTGAATGAAAGCAACAATAATCCAATTATAACGTGTTTAGTAACTACTGATATGTTATTTAAAATTGTCAGATTAGGATCCACATGCATGGCAAAACATTTCAAATTATATGGTTTTGGATTTGGATCTATTCAGGTTAATTATGGACTGACAAATACACTAGAAATGGTTTTCCAATGCTACCAGATCTGTAGCAGTTCATATCAGAATTTTTCTTTAATAGCAAAAATGCATTTAAAGACTATGCCAAAATTGTGTGACTTATTATGCAACAGAATAGAAGTATAGGATGAAGCATAGAAATATCCCCCTCTCGATCTGATAACTCCTAATAATTATCTAAACCTCCATATTTTAACAGAAAATTGTTTTCTATGTTGTGACCTATTATAACTACTGGAAAAAAAAACATTAAGATTTAGTCCTCAATATATTTACTGATTTACATACAAGGGAGACTTACTTTTCTATAATTTGTGAAATTACTGTAAAACCTTTCTTCTGAGTAAGCACTGCCATGTATGTCAGAATCAAACTTTTTTTTTAACCACATCTCATGCCCATCATACCTCAAGCCTGCTTCAGATTACATCCCACATATACCAAAATGTTCTTGTAAACTGAATCTAGCAATTGCACCTCAGACTTCAGGGTCTTACTAAACCACAGTAATCCCTGAATAGTTTCACGCTGCTGCTGCTACTCCTCTCTTTAATTCAACCTTACAACCTTCCACATCACTCCCGGAAGCAGTTCCTGGAAATAAAAATGCAGATTAGACCTGCCCTCTTGCAACTTTTAATGCGCCTTAACTCAAACCCCAAAGTTGCTGCAGACCACATGGTCCAATATTTGGTGCAATATTTCACCAAATATCCCCATTCCCACCCACCCCCGTTTCTTTTATCATTCTAAAAATCTATACACTTAACATGATGGGTTTTGACAGACAGTGCCTGCATTGTTCCATTAGGAAACGGCTAGACACCACATTTTACCTCACAACCAAGTGAGTAACCCGAATTACGGAAGACTTTTGCACTTTTTAGTAGTTTGTGGTGGCATGAAGGAATCATTCCGACGGGTTGGAGAAGCGTCAATGCGCGATGCTTCCCCCCCCCCCATCCAAACTCCCGTCCCTCAAAGCCTTGCATACACCACGGTACCGCTACCCAATATGAACAACTAAATACTGCCCGATCTCTAGATGCAAAGCGAGAGGAGGTGGGGTGGGAGTCTTGCAAGGATGGGGCGCTGCTGCTGTCCCCTCCGGTTCTCCTTCTCGACGCGAACAACGAAAGGTTTCGCAGCAGCCCTTTAAAAAGTCTTCGAGAGAGCGAGTGCGGGAAGCGGGCGAGAGGAGAAGAAGAAAAAAATAAAATAAAATGACGCCGTTTTTCCGAAGGCAGACGCCGCAGAGCCCTACCTACCTTCCTTCCCCGCCTCGGATCCCTTGCCTACCTGTGGCCTCGACCAGCCACCAGCGGGAGAGGAAAGCAACCTCGGGCGCTCGCTGCTGGGTGGGTGGGGTTTTCCCCCCCCCTCCTTCGTTTCCCTCCCTCCTACCCGCCTCCCGCGCGAGATGGGCGGTCAAGGGAAAACGGTGATTGGCTGGCAATCCGCCGCCCGCGGCGCCCAGGTGAGCGCCCAACCCGAACGCGACAGCGCTCGCCTGCGGCTTCTCTTGGAAGAGAGCTCAGGTGAGCGCGAGAGCTCCTCCTTCCGTTCTTTTAACGGAAGGCAAGGAGGCCACGTGCTGCGGGAGTGGCGGAGGGTGGGGTGGGGGTGGGGAAGAGAGCGAGGAACTTAAGAGAAAGCGCACCCGGGCGATATTTGCCGCCTCTACGGCGCTCCGTTTGTGACTTCCATATAGAAGCCAGTCAGTTACTACTATAAGACAAGGCTGGCTGTAGTAGCGTGTTTTTAATACTCCCCAATCGCAAGCGCACCCTTTAGCTCCGATTTAAGTCCCCCCCCCCCCCCCTCTCGTCCCGGAGTATTGTAAACTCAAAAAAAAAAAAAAAAAAGGGAAGAGAGGAAGGTACAGTAGTGGCCAAAATTGTGGAAACCTTTTGGGAAAAGTGTATTTTTGAGGTTTGATGACTAATAACACCATTTTTTTTGGAGTTTCAAGATGATCGTATTCCACTGCTTGAATGGCCTGGGAATAGCTCAGACCTTAACCCAATTGAAAATCTATGGAGCCGACTAAAAAAACTTGTTAGTCAGAAGCGACCCAGCAATAAAACCCAGTTAATAGAAGCAATCATTCAATCTTGGTTTCACATTATAACAGTTGCAGAACTAAAAGACTTGGTTCACTCCATGGGAAGATGTTGTAAGGCCGTAATTCATGCTAAAGGTTACCCAACTAAGTATTAACTGACGTGATAATTTTTGTATATCTCATTTTTTCTATGCATTTCACTTTTCTTCTTTATACTGTAACTGCTATTCTAAATGTTCAAAGCAAATCCTTCATAAAAGTTATTGCATTATATTCTTGATTAAATTATCTTTCCATTGATATATAGTTTTATGGTACTACTCCAAAAAAAAGGGGTGTTAATTAGTTTTAGAAAATACACTTCCCAAAAGGTTTCCACAATGCATTGCTAGTTTCGTGTTAGTTTGCTCTATTCCTATCTAGGTGAGGATTCCTCCAATTCAAAAGTCAAACCTATTGCTACAGGTGCCTTCAGAAAGTCTTGTTGGCTTGGAAAAAGTCCAAATATAAAATACTGGGAGTGTTATCAAATGGTTAATGGGAGACCAGGTTCTTTAATTAAAAAGGAATTTTTTTAAAAAAAGGAAAAAGTGGTTGCTAAATGCTAAATTGATATGCCACCCTACTCCTAGAGACTTTAGGGGCTGTGTCACTATAAAGATTTGTAAATCAGGTAAATTAAAGAACTCAGGCATATGTCTTAATGCTTATGTATACAAACTATGGAGTCAAATCCAATTTTGGTCTCCAATTGTGGAATTGAAAATGATGGTACATAATCAAAAATTAAGCGCCTTTAAACATGTTGACATTTGACACAAATTCTATGGTACTTTTTATAAACCTCATAATTTGTTCAGTTATGATTTTTCTGCTGACATTGACAGTTGAATGAGTCATTAGAATCTTAATTTAATTTACATTCAAAAGAATGTAAAACATGTATTTGCCCAGAATAAATTCTTACTAGTTTCATGTTACATACTCTTAATGATGTGAATAGGTTTGAAACCTTAGCCATTACTAGCTGGACTGTAACTATAGTGTCTGTAATTTTCTTACTGTATTATGAATACTGAAAATCAAGAACACTGAAAAATAACTATCAGTATAAATTTGAGGGGTCCATGGTGCTCTCTAAGCTTGGTTGTTTTCTTGCAGATATTTCATTACCCAAACTAGGTAACATCATCTGTGACAGAGTACCAAGCTCAGAGAGCACCAAGGATCCTCATTTCAACTACAAATATTCTCCTTTATCAGTATAAATTTCCATGGTACTAATCTCTCATTCCCTGGTTTCTCAAATAAATTATTTTATTGCACAGTGTCAGTTCCTTGCCTTATAAGGCACTGGAAACCTTTCCTTAGTGTATAATATCTGTATACAGCTTTGTCATTCTAAAATATCTATGTTTCTTAAGAACTCTGAAATCCATTCACTTGAATTCCATACAGCAATTAAATTCAACAGTTTAATTGGGGTGGCATTTGTTGTAAATGTGAGCATTATTTCTCATACTGATAAAAGTAATACTGTTATCAGAACAATGAACAGACGCAGATTGTCTAGCTTTCACCAAAATAAAAGCCCACAAGCCAGTATGCTTAAGTGTACCAAAATGTAAAGGTTTTACAACTTCAGATTGCCTATATATTGCTTTATCATTTGAAAGTAAAATGCTCGCTGGAATTCTTATACACTTAAATTTCTTTTAAATTAGTAATATTATTCAGAGCTCTTAAATTTCTACTTGCTTGGATTAACTTCTCAGAGGCTATGGAAGCTGCTTGATGAAAAAAATGACAGACATGGATGAAGTCACACTAATTATGAAAAAAGTTCTTGGAATGATGAAATGAAAGACTCAAGTGCAAAAGTTATGCAGAAAATGATTGCTGCAAACAATGAGAAAGCTATTTTGTTATGGGGATATGGAGAAAAAGATAATTGCAAAGAATGTCAAAGAGAGCAAGGGATTTAAGATTGGACACAGCAAGGAAAATGTAGAGTGATATTGATAAAAATAAAAATCTATTTTGGAAGCAGATAAAGAGGGCTGAACAAGGATCTTCCACCAGAGAGTACTGTTAAAAATAAGAAGGATGAAATGTATTTGTGTAAAATAAATTTGTAATGACATTAGAGGTGACTTGGTTTAGAACGGGTGTCAAACTCACGTCGTCACAGTGGGGTCATGTGACATATCGGGACTTCCCCCCCTTCGCTAAAGCAGCCATGGGCGTGGCCAGCGTGTGATGCATCTGGCCTCTGGGGCGGGAGTTTGACAGCCCTGGTTTAGAATGTGGGTATGTATGTTTGTACTGTACATAGTGAAGTTGTGCTGAATAAAAACCAAATGATTTGCAGTGACTATTAACTAGATTTGTATGCAATTGAAAAAACTTACACAAAAACTTATGTAAGTACTGTAATTGAACTTGTGTACCTTAATGCAAGTTTTGTTAAATAGAAAATACAAATGCAAATAGAAAAATGAAATTTTAATATGTGAAAATCCTGATAGAAACTTAATAGGCACTCTATAGTCTGTTGCAAGGAATGCTGTTGTAAGAAACCAAATGGCTGTGTATAAGAGCATGTTAGTGCCCAATTTGTGTTATATGGAAGCATGTTAGGTGAAATGTTGAATGTTGAATGAAATGGAACGGGGTAATTAAATGCATGTGATAATACAAGAGATAGACTTGAGAACAAATGAGAACTGAATGTTTATTGAAAAAAATGAGCAATCAATAAAGAGGTACAATTAGTGCTTGACTTATGACCACAATTCATCCCAAAATTTCTGTTGGTGAGACAGTTAAGTGAGTTTTGCCCCATTTTACAACCTTTCTTGCCATAGTTGTTAGTGACACGGTTGTAAAGTGAATCTGGCTTCTCCATTGACTTTGCTTGTCAGAAGCTTGCAAAAGGTGATAACATGACCCAGGGATATTGCAACCATCATAAATGTGAGCCACTGTCCAAATTTCGATCACGTGACCATGGGGATATGGCAACGGTTGTAAGTGTGAAATATGATCATAAGCCCCTTTTTCTCAGTACCATTGTAACTTTGAACAATCACTAAATGGATGATTGTAAATTGGGGATTACCTGTAATATGTTGAAATGTGAAGGGAGAAAAAACAAGAAAATTTCCTTAAATGGAATTGATGAAATTCTCAAAATGAGGGAAGTGACAAGTTTAAAGAAAAATAACCAAGCATAAAGCAAGTTATGAATGTGTTAAAATGTTTGCAAAAACAGAAAAGTGTGGAGGCAGTGAACCGTATTGATATGAATTATTTCCCTTACGTTTCCTTTCCCTTTTGTTATCTCCCATTTTTTAATTTCAATTTGTTTGCATCCAGATCACATCTTATTAGTGAAATGTTTTGAAATCCAGCTTCTAATTTGAATAAAGTAATATTCAGTAGGCATCCATATTGTGGGACTTGATTAGCTGCTAACAATCTGATTAGTTTTTCTTTTTTGAAGATGAAATGGAACACTTTAAGGATATTTTTTCTTGGAAATACAAAGCAGTGAGAACACCAAAGCTTTCCAAAAAAACATTGTCGGTATCCAAAGTATTAAAAATGGAAAGGGGTATCCCTTGTTTTATACTAATAGAGGTATGAAGAACTTAAATATTCTATGAAAACTGAGCGAAGCAATAGGAAATGGAAAACTGACTCCACTCCCTACTCCAAAAACAGAGTAGAAGGTGAGTTGCTAGGCAACCTCATATGGAACACTGGCCTTTTTCATGAAGATAACTACTCTTACCTCTCTGGCTCCCTCGCGGGAGTTAATTCAAAGGCCATGTATTAGAAAGAAGGCTTAGGATATGAAATACTATTAAAATATTGATAAAAGCTCTAATAGAGTCTTTCTACTTCACTGGGCAGAGAGTAAAATCAAGGAAGGAAGGAAGAGATCCAGTGTTCTCTCATGGAGGCAGAATGGCTTAAAATGCCTTATCTGAATCCAACCAACCAGGCGGAAATGTGGCTAAGAGGCAGGATATTAAAAGCTCGATTGGAATTGGAATTAGTGGCAGTACAGTATCTTCCATAAATTTTCATGCAAATTAACACTGATAAATGGGATAAACCTTGGCTTTATTAGTTGTTAACCTGTTCTTCCTTCCTGTTTACATTTAGGGTGGCCGAAGAAAAGAACAGGAGCTGAATGATAGAGGAACTGAGAAGTCAGCCATGTTGCAATTTAGATCAATGTGAAAGATGCAGGAGACATTGGTATCTTCGTGGAAATCTAACCATTCTTTCTACTTTTATGAATTGTAAAGCAATGTTACTTTTATCAGAATATCAGAAGACCAGAGTTTTATTAGCAATATCATTGTACAGGTCTGGAAAATTGTCCCTATTTTTCTTTCTAAATATAGTCCACCCCTTTTTAGTGATGGTTGGATTATTTGCCATGGGAATAAGAAGGATCCCACCTAATAACTAGACTATTAGCTTAGACTATTTTTATCTGGCAAATTATTCTTTGATAGCTTTATTGCGCAATATACCCTTAAACTCTTCTATAGGAAGTTTCTGGCAATTACAAATTCCAATCCACTTAAAAATGCCTATTGTTTCAGTAATGAGCAAAATATTGTACAGAACTGGTTATGCCATAAATAACTAGATTTCAGTTCATTGGCAACTGAAGCAAAATTAAGTGCCTAAAATAAGTGTGTATAGATGACTGTGGGCACAAATCTTGTCCTGTAGTGGTTACAGATAACATTCTAAAAAAATGGAGGGAGAGTTTAAAGCTGAAGTAAAAAGTCACTTCTTTTCTTGCAAAAATCCATCTCTATGTATAGTTTACATAAAAGGAAGTTTTTAAAAAAGCAAAACCAGAACTAAATAAAGACTGTTGGTATACTGTATAGCAACAATTGGTGCAGCAACAGGATGTGGATATGACACAGAAAAAATAACCAACACTCAACCACAAGGATGAAACCATAACATCACTCTTTGAAAACTGATATTGGATTCAAGGATACCAGGAAGTTGCAGGACCTAATCACAGAACCCACACTTTTGCAATAAGTAAAAATAGGTTTGAGTATCTGTTTTTATATAATAATATATAGTAAACATTCACTTACTTTTCCAAAATAATAACCTGTAACACTGATTGATAGTTTTCAAACTTCATAGATACCAATGAGAAAATTATATAAATATTTTATACAATGCTTGAGAGTTGGATGATGCAGATATAAGTACTGAGCTTTACATGGCATACAGTTTTAATTCCGCTGTTTCTCTTGTATGACCATAAAGGAAATAACAGTGGAATTTTCTGCTTTGCACTCCCCCTCCCTACTTCAGGTAGCCTCACCTACATACCTCCTTTTATAACAGGGCTGCCAAACTCAATCGTGTCACATGATGTATTGCAATGGTTTTTTGCCTTTGCAGAGCCGGGATGGGTGTGGCCTGCAATTGATGCATCTGGCCCGCAACCCGCCAATTTGACATGCCCATTTTATAGAATCACAGGCAGAACTGACAAGTAGTAACTATGTCAGGGCTAGTGCCCCACTCCCCTGAAAGTACATTTAAATTTCCAGCTACCACACTCAAGATCCAAATTATTGAACCTGGTAAAGCTAATAGATGCACTCGGCTGGTTCCTTTTTGTGTTGGGACACAATAGTTAAAGGTTTTCATGGATTTGTCACATGTGGAAAGGGACAGACCATCAGTCCTGTTTGGTGCATTTTCCCAAAATTTTACACTAAAAACTGCTGGCCATAAAAACTGTTTGATTTAAATGTGTAAGCCTTAAAACAATCCAAATGTGGCAAAAGGCAATGTACACTACTTTTTTTTTTAAGCAATCTTATCCCACCCAGATTTTCCACAAAAAAAGTAATAAAAACACTGGAAAAAAAAGGCCTGGCCGAGGGGCTATCCTTTCCTTTTAAAGAATTCTTTACCTCCAACTGATTTAGCAAATGGTTGGAAGAAAACAGATTAGGTGAACATGTTTTCGAGACAGAACAACAAAAATGGTTGTATGGTGTATATATCTATTTAGATTATAATCAATTCAAAATAGCATAGGCATTCATTGGATCAGTAAAACCAAAGTTTCTCAAAAATAATCTTGTCTGGAAATTCTAAATCTAAGCAGGAAATAAATCACTTGATAGTTCCTTGTCACAATAGCCCAAAGAATCAATTAAGAGCAAGTATGAGAACCAATTGTATCTTTACCAGAAGTGATAACAAAAAGATTAGTACTATATAGACTCAGAGATATAGATAGTAATTTGGATGTTAATCCTTGTTTTTTATTTAAATGTTGGGCTTCAATGTAGGCAACTGAAGTTCAAATATTTCCTTAAGTTTAAGAACTCCATGGTAATTTTAGAAAAGGCTTTATTTCTTAGTTTGATTCACTTTCCAAATGATGGAGAGATTGAATATTGTGGAGGGACAACAGAAAATACAGCTGTTAACATGGGAAAAAAATCCTCAGGAAAAGCCTGGAACAGAGATCTTTCATTTTATATCATATTCTTCATACTGTTGCATATTTATATGCAATATTGCACACAAACATGCAAAATTGAAGTCTTATTACTATAGTAAAATAAATTTAAACAAGAATTAGGTTATTGCTTAAGTTTTCCAGCAAAGAAGAATGATAGCTTACAAAAACAAAGATTAAAACTAGAGAGATACAAATATAACATTGTAGTATAGTACTTTATTTTCCCCTTTCTTGGTATTCCTGGGGATTCAGAGTAGACCGTGTTTCAAAACATTGATTACACTCCAAATAAATCACCTCTACAATGTAGAAAGAGCAATAGACACAGCTGGAAGTTCTCTCTACAGATTTCTCTGCCACAGAGTGATCTTCAAAGAAAGTTCCAGCTGTGCATGTTGTTTCTTTTACTCAGTTTATCTGGATTGCAGCCAGTATCTACAGGAGGAAAGTGAGACACCAATGATCTTTTGTTTTTACTGAACTCTAAATACTAAAGCAGCCTGTTTTTAAAATAAATCTACAAGTAGTCTCTGCTGGTTTTCACTGGGAACTAGTTGGGTGTGCAGCATCTTCAATTTTACAGATGACTTTAAAGCTCCTTTTATCTTCCAAATTAACATAAATGCATTCATCAATGCTCAAGTCCTTAAAGAGGCACGTGCTTTATCAAGTATTTCTTTTTTTATCTTCGGGTAATTTGGATGTGCTTCTAAAACCTGTTGAATAAAAAAAAAACTTGCATTGAGACTGCTTTTCAAGCTACAAGTTAACTTTAAAACATATGTAACTATATTGTCTAGATTTGCTCCATCATCCATTTATACGTTTGCTTTATTCTGATTCTTAACATGCAACACACACACACACACCCCTTTCATTATCAGATAGTCAGTGTAGTTTACCTTATGACAAATAGTGATAGCATCAATATGTCTCTTGGCTTTCAGATAATTAAAAGCTAGCTTGAAACCTGTAAAAGCAGAATGATACAGATTTTGCAAATAAATATTTTAATAGAAATAAAAATAAAGAACTAGGATGACATGTGCATGTTTCTCTTTCTGGTTTAAATTATGGTACAAATGGAAGTTTTTAAAATGAGAAGATAACCTATTGGTCTGTTATACAGAATTTTCATCTCTGTCAAAATTTACCCTTATCACTCAAGCTCAAAATCCTTAACAACACCAAACAGGAAAAGAAAAGACAAACCATATAGAAGTTTTTCTTTTAATTTCCCACCATCCATCTCCTTTCATTCACATTTTCTGACTGCAAAAAGTTGCTTAGTACAACACCTTTATTTCAGCTCACAAGCACATGATTTGAAAAGAACATCCCAATGAATTTCCCAGGCTCATCTGCATGAAATATCAAATCAAATATCTCTATTACGGTCTTTGACCAGCTTTTTACAATCTATATAAATAAAAATGTAAATATCCGTTTGTACACAACCGCACATCTCCAAAAGTTCTTCACTTATTGCTTTCAAATTTTGACACAACGTTGCATTTGACTACGGGCGTGTTTATATATACCTATATTATATACATGTCACACCTGTGACAAGTAAAAACATGAAAAACATTGAAAGACATTGACAAACATTGAAAAACAGCGCCATCTGCTGGACGTAAAACCAACATGGCAGCCTCCCAGCCCTGATTACGCTCAACAGATTTCTGCTCCTTATATTTAAACTCTCCATATTGCTTCCAAAAAACTGTGCATTTGGAAGGCAGAGACGCCCGAGGGCCATATCCTGCCACCAGGCTCGGCAGGTAGGCAGCCGGCTCCCCGCCAGGAAGCCCTCGCAGCTGGCACTTCTAGGGCTGGGTGGGGCCCGCCCGAGCCTGGCTCTGACCTCCCCCCTCCCCCGGCCAGCCCGCGAACTAGCCTCGCCCGCCGCTGCTGCCCATCCCCCTCGCCAGCCGCTCTCAGGGCTCCCTCCAAAGAACACCTGGCAACGAGGCTGCCTGGGTCTGCCGAGCGGGAACCCTCCGTCCCTCGCCTGGCCCGAATCGTTCCTGGCCCAGTGTTACCACGGGCCCCGAGGTCAGAAAGACCAGCCGCTAACCGGCGCTATGTGAATCTGGTTGGTGAGCGGGAGATGGAGTCAACTGGAGCCTTGGGGTCGCCTTTGACCAGCACCGCCTTTGATTCCCAGGTGGACGCTCTGGCAGTTCACGGAGGCTACACGAAAATTTCGGCCTCTGGCAGAAAAAGGGCTCTGGGGAGCCTTCGGGGGGCGGAAACGGGCAGGAGAGAGGATGGCCAGCTTCGTTTCGCCTGGAAGAGCAGGGGATTTAATCATTCCCCTGCCCTTGGCCGGCGGGGGAGGAGAACTGCGCAGCAGGGGTCCAGTGGGGTGTGCGGGGCTCCTGGCTTTGCCGCTTTCTTCCTTCGGGCGGGAAGCCCTAAACCAGCCTCAAACCCCTGCCGCACCCCCTCCCTCCCTCCCTCCCCTTCCCTTCCCTGCTATGTGTCTCCCCATCGAGCCCCCAGAGAACATCTGTGTAGGGAGGACGGAGGGAGCCCCCGAGTTTCTGCTGTGGTGCGGAAAGCTGTGAAGGCCTGGCCTGAAAAGCTAAGGGCGATGGCGGGGGATGCAGAAGAGGCCGGGCCAGAGACAGAGATAAACAGAGAGAGAGGGAGAGAGAGACAGAGAAATACAGAGAGACCGGGGGGGGGGAGAGACATATAGAGATAGAGAGAGGGTGGGAGAGAGAGAGACAGAGAGAGATACAGAGAGGGGGGCAGAGAGACATAGAGACAGAGAGAGGGGGAGAGAGACACACATAGATACAGGGGGGGAGAGATAGATACAGAGGGGGGGAGAGAGAGAGACATAGATACAGAGAGGGGGAGAGAGAGACAGATACAGAGGGGGGAGAGAGAGACACATAGAGAGATACGGGGGGGAGAGAGAGACACATAGAGAGATACAGGTGGGCGAGAGAGAGAGAGAGAGAGAGATACAAAGAGAGAGGGGGAGACAGAGAGGGAGGATTTTATGGTTCCCATTGTTTTTTAGCAACCGGTTCTCTGCCCTAATCACCAGCTGGCTAGGCGTGGCTCGGGGTTGTCATGTGACTGATGAAAGTGAGTGACGTTGATTTGGCCACACCCACTAAATGTTCATGGAGAGTTTGGAACTTCAGCCTCGCTCTTTTAGCCCAACGAAAGCACCAGACTGGGCCACAGCAACGTGTGGCCGGGTACAGCTAATTTAATAATAATAAAATTACAGCAAAAGAAGGAACAGTTTAATACAATTAGGGAAGGGAAAAATGGGTCAATAAGACAGCATGGCTGACTAAAAATTTTGCAGTTGTGTGACTTGGTAAAAAATGTTGGCCACCTGATGTGTAAGTATAGGGTTAG